TGAGGAATGAGGATGGCGTGTTGTTCCGGTGCAGTAAACAGGCTTTGTGATAAATGAGGATGGCGTGTTGTTGTGGTGCAGTAAACAGGCTCTGTGATAAATGAGGATGGCGTGGTGTTGTGGTGCAGTGAACAGGCTCTGGTGACGAATGAGGATGACATTGTGTTGTTGTGTTGCAGTAAACAGGCTCTGGTGTACAACTGCACTGGCTGTGGTTCCTTCCATCTGCAGAGGCTGGGAAAGAGGACGAGCCAGGGCAACCAGTAAGATACCCGTCTCCCCCTGTCTCCCCTGCAATTCAGAAGTTCTACATCACACTGAAAAATCGGTTAATTAAGTACATTTCTGCTGAACTGTAAAAATCTAGAGCCAGAAAAGCTAAGTATGTTCAGCTTTAGTAGAATAAGAAAAATAAATCCTCTTAATGACACTGGGCGGACTGTCTCTCTCGCAGAATGAAGTACTCTGCTGCCTCAGGGCCTCCTGTCGGCCCGAACTGTGAGCACTGCGGCTACAAGCACCATGTAAGTGTGCGAGCGAGCGTGCGCCTGTGTGCAAGCGTGTGTCTGTGTGCATGCACGCTTCTCCACTGTTTTTGTTCAGAGTCACAGTGGCTGTGTCCCTGGGGGTTCCGTCTGTGAGGTGTCTTGATTCTCCCCTCTCCCTCTAGCTGGGGGGGCCTATCTGGGCTGAGCCGATCCACAGTCCAGAGTTTGTCCAGAAGGTTCTGTCTGCAGTGTCGGCGAACCCATCCAGATTTGCGACGTCCCGCCGCATCGAGGGAATTTTGAGCGTGATCACTGAGGTCAGTGCGGTGCTGGATAGAGGTCAGAGGTCAGTGTGCCAAGGCTGTACACTATGTGCTGTAGTAGTGACACAGTTGTGTGTTTCAGGAGCTGGAGGATGTGCCCTTGTATTACACCTTGGACAGTCTGAGCAGCACGGTGCACTGCAACACCCCTTCACTGCTGCAGGCCAGGTAACACACTGCAGAACAACACAACATACACACACTACAACACCCCTTCACTGCTGCAGGCCAGGTAGTGTGGGTCCTGCCCAGCCCACACTCTCGGGGTACAGTACCTTCCTCAGGGTGCTGAGTACTGACCTCTCTCCCCGTCTCTCAGGTCGGCCCTACTCCACGCTGGACACAGGGTGTCGCTGTCCCACGCGTGCAAGAATGCTCTGAAGACTGACGCCCCTGCCAGTGCACTCTGGGACATCATGAGATGCTGGGTGCGAACAAGGGAGGGAGGGTGTCTGCATAGTACAGTATCTGCACAGTGCTCACAAGTGTGGCATACAGTGTGTGTATATTGTGCACTATATCCAATGAGTTTGAGTCATGTAGAAAGTGTGTAGTGTGTGGTGTGTACGGTCTAGAGTCTGGACAGTGTGCAGTATACAGTGTGCATTATCGAGTGTACAGTGTGTAGTACATGTACAGGGTGTTCAGTATACAGTGTGTATTGTGGTGTGGTGTACAGTACACTGTGACGCAGTATTGACACATGCGGCCCCAGTAACAGCAGTGTCTGTTCTGTGCGCTGCAGGAGAAAATGAACCCAGTGAAGAGAGAGAAGCTGTCAGAGACGAGCCCCGCCTTCCACATCCTGTCCACTGCGCCAGTGTGAGTTCAGACGGACTGTCCAGCGTGCTGGACTGAGGATCGTCCTGCCTTACTCCTCTCTCCCACTCCCCACCCTGCCTTCACTCTCCTCTCTCTCCGCGCCCTGCCTCACTCTCCTCTCTCTCTCCCTGCCCTGCCTCACTGCTCTCTCACTCGCTGTCCTGCCTCCCTCTCCTCTCTCTCTCCC